ATCCATGCATCCATTCATTCATTCATTCATTCATCCATCCATCCATCCATCCATCCATCCATGCATCCATGCATCCATTCATCTATCCATCCATCCATCCATCCATCCATCCATCCATCCATGCATCCATGCATCCATTCATTCATTCATTCATTCATCCATCCATCCATCCATCCATCCATCCACCATCCATCTATGCATCCATCATCCATGCATCCATCCATGCATCCATCCATCCATCCATCCATCCATGCATCCATGCATCCATTCATCCATCCATCCATCCATCCATGCATCCATGCATCCATGCATCCATCATCCATCCATCCATGCATCCATCCAGCCATGCATCAGGAAGCCACACTGGCGAAATACCAGGAAGTCCATCTATTTATACATGTTCTTCAATGCCTGCATTCGCCCCCTACTGACCTATGGCTGAATCACAGGCATTCAGACAAAATTCTTATCTAATGTTCTTACAACGGTTGAATATGTGTTGTTATAGATATTTCGGACATGTAACTAATCTATTTTCAATCAAAACATTATAGATTAAACATTGTCAACATTATAAAAAGGGAAACCTAAGACTATAGTGTTGTGCTTCCAACATCAGTACTAACCTGTAATAACTATAAATTTCTTCACATCCATCCATCCAGCCATCCATCCATTATCTTTACCCACTTCTTCCTCCTGACCAGCTACACCTCTGACCCTCTCTGGGTCAGAGGTGTAGCTGGTCCTCATGTCCAGCAGTACTTGTGTGAGAGGCAGGACAGGTATCTGGTCCAGTACAGGGAGACAAACGAGACAAACAACTATTTGCTCTCTCACTCACACCTGTAACCACGTAGCCTAACATTCATGTGTTTGGTCTGTGGATGGAAACTGGAGTTTTTGGAAAAATCCCATGCATGCACAGGAAGGACAGGTAAACTCCACCAGGGAAGATTAGTACACCAGGACCACTGGCTGTAAAGCAGTAAAGTTTATGTGATTCAGAAGATATTTATTTTAAAGTTTTAGACCCTTTTTTAACGTTCTGTGTTTGTGTGTCTCTTTCCTGTCCTCCCACACCCAGCCAGTCGAGGCAGATGGCTGCTCGTCCTGAGCCTGAAGGCTGGAAGTTTCTTCCTTTTTAAAAGGGAGCTTCTTCTGTTGCCAATGTGTTGCTGAAAATCCTTTTATGTGTAACATACTTGGTGAAATAAAGAGATTCTGATTCTCAGGATGGGAGACTGCAATGAAGTGAAGATTGTTTTTTGTACAGTTTCCTGGGGACAACTTTTGTTGTGACTTGGAGCTATATAATAAAACTGAACTGAAGTGAAAGATCCCAGGTTAGGATTCGATTCTTCAACCTACTCACTGAGAGGCGACAGCTCTACCAACTGTGCCACTCCAGTTCATCCCAGTACAATCCAGTTACAACTCAATTAAATATGTTAATTAAAGCTTCAAAGTTGTTGAAGGAATGCTTCACCGTCAGAGCTTTAAGATCATCTTAACTTTAAGTTAAAGTTGAAACGCTCTGGTCAAGCCTTATAAATGCAGTTTAGATTGATCACATGTGATATCGCAAGATCTTACAAAATGTGTGTGAATATGTGTTGGGCATGACACTCATCCTAAATCTTAGCTCAATGTTGATGAAATTTACTGATTTATAGCCATTTCTGTGTTTGCTAAGGTTGCTTAGCTGTGGCGGCCATCTTGATTGTGGTTTACTGGAAAAGTTGATTTGTTGGAGATGTACACCCAGTGACTAGTTTCTAAAAGTTTCAGTGAAATCCATCCTGTGGTTTGGAAGATATTTTGCTAATTCTGTAGACAAACTATCACACAGTACATGCACAACTGTTAAACCGCCTGTTCTTCAGTTTGTGTTTACTATTGGACAAGAACATTGGCAGCACGACTTTATTTTCTGAAAACACTCAGTGCAGCTTCGTTCAGTCTGTCTGAGGTTTTGTTTTGGGTTATTTTGGGGCGGGGCGGGGTGAAAACTGAATCCAAACAAACCTGCTAATGTTTCTCATGTGATTAAATGTAGGACTTTGTGACGAAATAAGATTTGTTGTGGCCATGTTTGTGCATGTACGTATGTGTGCATGTGTGTGTGGGGTGTGCCCTTGTTTTTGCTACTTGGTGGGGACAATTTTTCAGGAAAATTCATCCTCGTGGGGACCGGATGCTCCTTGTGGGGATCAAAGCCCAGTCCCCACAAC